CATGGTAGGTAGAATGAATAAATGTAACAACAGCCTGAGGTGGGAGAGTCAGAAAGTTTACATACTTTAGATTGACCAGTGAATGCATGGTCTAGAAAGAGTTAATGCATTTTACATCTGCTGTTACAAAAGTATTGGAAAACGGGAAATCACTGACTTTTTACTGGCCACAGTAATACACTGGAAAACTTAGTAAGATCATCATCATTACGTGTCCAGCCCAGCAGTATAGACGCGCATTCTCTCCACATATTTCAGTCCTTGGTGTATTAAATAGCTTCACTGGTGATTGATTGTCCATCATGTAATCTTTTCAGGCCTGCGAGCTTTATCTTTCTTGGTCTGCCTCTGTCTCTTCTACCACTGATTATTCCAGTCACTGCGATTTTCTTCAGTGCCCCTCTTCTCATCACAGGACTGTATAACACTGGCTATCTCTTTCTGATAACTGTATACTGCTTTCTCCTCTTCACACTCTCTTTGCTGCTCGCTGAAGGTGACGTCAAGCACAGAGAAGTGGTAGTCCAACAGTTGATTCACGACAATTCATGCCCAGTTGATCTGATTATCTATATATATGGTTTGGTGGTGAGAGGAAAGAGAAGTGCCTAGGGGTTGGTTGACAAAGAAAATGGAAAATCTTTAGTGCAAGACAGCCTAGCATACAACATCACAACACCTAGCTTTAGATTGGAGGTGGAGACGGTTACTACAGCTCTCCGGTGGCTAGAGAACAAGATGCATACACATGTCGTAACTGTAACATTCTCTGAAGGCATTCTGAGAAAGGTAAAGACAGGGATGCTTCGAGCAGAGTGGCAAGCTTCACTGTGAAGGTCACGGGTAGTGAGCATACTTTGGATCTTTTCTCCGGGCCATGCCCGCGTAGTGCGTAATGTACAGTCGGATAGACTGGCTGGATCCGCACCACTGGGTGGTGAATTGATACACGATAAGGCAAATTTGGTCAAGACCCTTTGGGAACAAGCAACGGAATCAGTAGAGAAACAAGATTATTATGGCCTGGAGAGAATGAGACACCTGAGTGTAACCAGAGGGTATGGTCGGCTCACTACACTCAGAGGAAAGATAAGAGGGACATATAACCGGATTGTGACCTGTACCATCAGTACTGGAACTCTGCGCTAGCCAGATGAAGACGGAGTACACAATGGAATGCCCCGAGTGCTGTGATGTCAATGCTTGACTTAACTCAACTGCATACTACTGGCACCTTTCCGTGTTTCCAGACGATTGCCTTATACTGTGCTATGATGAGGCATGGGACTCACAGCCCATGGCGATGTCAAGTGTGAATAGAAAGAGCATCCTACGTTAACAAAAGTCATTTACACTCACAGCATGGAATTTAACTACTGTTGTTCCCATCAGTTATTTTTAGTGTATTTTTACTCAGACACTCAGTTTTCATCTTTTCTGCGATCAGTTATTCCTTTATTCCCATTCCTTTCCTGGTATACCACTCCATGCAACACAACCAATAGCAATTTGATTCCATGAATAAACATCAATACATGTATTTTTCATGTCCCTCTTGCACACATCTTTATATTGTTGTATTGGTCATCCTCGACATCTTCTATCCCTTTATAATTTACCGTAGAGGATGTCCTCTAGTTGTATATAGCTGTTAGGAAAATACATACCTCATATACTGCATCGTCTTCGTAATCCATATTTAGATCGGCAGGCCTGCCTGTAGGCACCCGAATATCTGCCTGCTCTGTTACATAATCTAAGTAGACAGGACTCCACACCTTATGTTTGGCTTTTTGTAATGCAAGCGGTCGGCTCAACACCTTGATGTATTTCTTAAAAAAAAGTAACGTATTATAATTTATTGTCTGGTATATTGCGCTGTGTAAACATGCACATTGTGCAGTAATACGTGCATTCCAAGAAGCAAATAATGAATCTTTCTAACTAAAATACAAAAACAGCCACGCTTAAAAGTAAGTATTTTTACAGGTTCGCAGCCTGATTTTTAATTTACACACACATATATCTAAAAATCTGTGTGTCTGTTTGCATTTGTCTGTCACGAGAACACTATTTCTCGGGCCTCTCATTCGCAAGTGGTGATTTTGCGAACATGGGCTGTAGATAGTGTCCATGTTTGGCACTGGTAGCTTAATGTTGGAATGAATATCTATATAATCTGTATCTTTGCACTCATAGTTATGTTTGGATGTCTTAATAACGGTGACAATTGGTATATAAGTGCACTTGCTATCTGACATCTGGTTTCTATTTCTCTGTCAATTTTACCATCTTCCTAGATCATACTTCCTAGATATTTAAAGTTCCTAACTTGGTTCAGAGTGGAACCATTCAGCTGTATGTGTAGTGGGGCAGGGGTTCTACTAACTTGCATTGTTTCGGTTTTGTTTGTATTGATGATCTTCATGTTGTGTTTACTCCATGCTGAGTTTAACATATTATTCTGGTCTTGCAGGCTATCTTCTTCAGGGTAGAACAAGCACTAGTCGTCAGCAAAAAGTAGTTGGTTTAATGTGGATGCATCGATTACTTTATCTGCTTGGTGTAGTTCCTCATGATTATGACGACCTATGTTGTCTGTATTAGAACTTGCTTCTTTAGATATTCTGTCTATATAAATGTTAAATAAGTGCGAGGGGAGCACATATATCTGATATGCCCTTTGGTGTTCTTGCTGCACTTTGGCTTGTCTGATGCAGGGCTATGATGTTCTCTAGTAACTGTCCTTGTACCCCGCAGTTCTCAAGAACAGACAACAGTTTGTTGTTATCCTATCTATCAAAAGTCTTTTCCTGATCCACAAACACAATATTTTGTTGGGTATTATACTCAATGGTTTTCTTACACACATGCGACAATGTATACCTGTATGTATATATTAGAAATACACACACACACACACACACACACACACACACACACATATATATATATATATATATATATATATATATATATATATATATATATATATATGCATTGTATATGATCTGTAACCTTAATTAATAAATTATTCGTTTACAGGGAAAAAACATGGAACAAGAGGCTGCCTGGTCTCGAGGCATGGCGAGGTTCCGTGTTTAATCCCCGGTAAGGACTGGGAATTTTTCACGTTGACCTAGACTTCTGCTAATTCCCGCTGGTCTCTGGGAAGTGAGATCGGACGCCGTGTGCATTGTTGAGCACGTAAAAAATCTCTTGGCAGTTGGAAATCGAAAAGAGTAGTCTAACTGCGATGCCCGGGCAAAATTTGGAGTTGAAAATCTACCCAAATTATTTGCAAGATCCTGGCCGGTGCTAAATAGCTTGTGCACTATGCTAAGCTTATTCGGACTCAGACTTGAGTAAGAAGAAGAACGGAGCACTTATGGATTACTACCCGTCGGCCATGATGTTGATCCGTTGTTCAAAACTTCAAAAACTCTAAATAACTTGGAACATAGTTATTTTCAAAAGAACTAATGCTAGTAATAACATACCTGTACATTCTCTTGCACATCTGCTCTAGTAGCTATGTGAGTGAATTTACCTGAAAAATTTACGTCAAAAGTCACATTTAATTACATCTGAGTCCCAGTAGGCTGCAGAATGGCTATATACGTGAGTTTGTGCACCTGTCTGTCTGTTTGTTACTGGTATGTTGATGCCTGGCTGTTTTGTCTGCCTGGCAACCTATTTGCCTTGTCCATTTGTCTGCCTATATGCTATTTTGTCTATCTATCTCTGAGTACTTGTTAATAAACTTGTTTGTGAGTACCGGCACATTTATCTTTTAAAGACACAAACCCCTGACCACCACCCTACAACAGCATCACTAGGTATCTGATCCAAACACCATATTTTTACACATCATCTTTTTTACTGGCCCGTAAACTCTGGTGGTTCGTCCCCCATAGGACTTTGGTCTTGTTCTAGAGCGTGAGATTTGAGTGCAAATCTGTTTTACACATTTAGTTTGTGTGTATGAAGACTGTGTGTTCATAAACTCTCAAGCAGATGGTCTCCGACTTTGAAGAAAACACTGCTTTTACGACATGTTGTAAGGAGTGCATTGAGTAATCTCCCCAAAGCTGAGGTATTGGACCATCTTAAACGACACAGTGGCCTGGAGTGAACGATTCAGAGGTCGGCCAGCTTGAATGCGGGTGCAGGATATTGAAGATGGATTGTCTATGAAAGTACATATAGCTGGAGACTTGGCTAGAGAAAGAGAGAGTTTCAGGCTCCCCGTGTCGACAGTGATGACCTGTAAGGACCTGCAGACTGATGAACTTGTCCCATGCTGACCTAAATTCGTGGAATGACCTTTTTCTAACACAGACGCTATGAATATAGTTCAGATCGCTACTGGTAGTCTACGCTCCGAATGGGTAGGAAGGAGTTAACACCTCTATAATCTGGTTCTTTACACCTGGGCAGCCCGGCTCTCTAGCGTAGTTGGCTAAACTGGATTGCGCGGTGACCGGGTGACGTACTCCTTGTGGTCCGGGTTCACTCCCGTGGGTAGGCAGAAAAGCCACATTTCTCCCAGATTTACGGTATTTACATTGGAATCAAGGCCGAAAGGTTGCGATATCCATAAACCGAGCCTAAGGATAACAACTCATGGCTTCTGGATTCTAAAACAAACAAACAATACACCTGGGCATGCAGAAGTAAATGGTGATGAAAGAGCTAACCAGCTGGCAAGTAATGAACTAATGCAAATGGGAAGAAACATTGACAGAGCTGATATCATCAACGATGTACGGACTAGGTTGGGGGATAATGGCGAATCTCTGACGCTAACTCGACTGCGTGACCGAGGAGTTAAGCTTAGTGAAACACGACTATGCCGTCTTTGAAGTAAAGACAGGAGATATTATAACCAACGCCGCATGGGAATAAACAGTAGAGGTACACTGGAGTGGCTGCTGCTTCGGAGGACTGAGCACGCATCGGGATGCCTAATGTGCAAAGAGGTTGATTGTGATCACATAACATAACACAACATCATGCTTTTGTTGGTGCAGTTTTGATGAAGTTGGACCAGGAATATCTCCAGGAATTCGGATGTTGATAAAGATAAATAGAGTAGGTTTTGGAGGCATCTGAATTATTTTAAAGGAGGATAAACTGTATCCTAGGGTTTGGATACAGTGTCTGCAAAGGGAAAGTGGTGCTCATTTCAATGATGTTGATGGCTCTTTTGGTGCCATTAATGATGATGATGATGATGATGATTATACTACAACTGATTTTGACATTGATCATGTCACTGCTGATGAAAATCGTGGTGGTGCCATTGGTAATAAAGGAACTTATCATGATGATATTACTGCGGCTGAGGATGATGATGTCGTTAAAGATGTTGATGATTGTGACAGTAGTGATGGTGGTAATGATGGTAGGGCTGTTATTGTTGCTGATGATTATCTTTCTATTGCTGATAATGATGATGATAAAGGGAGCAATGGTGCTGACGACGATGCCGCTGGTATTGTTGCTGCTTCTAGTGGTGATAGTGATGTTTCACAGGCTGGTGTGGGTATGATGTTAATAATATGATGATGTTGCTGCTGTGCTGCTGCTGTGATGATGATCATGCTGACAGTGGTAATAGTACTGATGATGGTTATATTGCTGCTGACAATGTAACGTAAAGTACCGACGATCATAATGCTGCTGCTAATGATGTTGCTATTGGTAATGTTGTTGCTGCTGATGTGGCGGTGGTGTTGATCATGATGTTGATGTTGCAGCTTGTGATAGTAGCAGCGACAGTGATGATAGTGCTAGTGCTGCTAACGATGCTGTTGGTAATGATGGTGCTAAAGATAATACTGGTGGGGTTGATAACGAAACCTACAATAATGATTGTGGTGATGATGATAATGGTACCAACGATGATGATGCTGCTAATGATGATTGTAAAAAAAAAAATATTTTGTAGATACGGGCTGAAAAAAGAACCAATGATGATGATGGTGGTGCCAATGATGCCAGCGTATCTAATCTTCTTCTTGTTCTTCTTCTTGTTCTTCTTCTTCTTCTTCTTGTTCTTTTTCTTCTTCTTCTTCTTCTTCTTCTTCTTCTTCTTCTTCTTCTTCTTCTTCTTCTTCTTCTTCTTCTTCTTCTTCTTCTTCTTCTTCTTCTTCTTCTTCTTCTTCTTCTTCTTCTTCTTCTTCTTCTTCTTCTTCTTCTTCTTCTTCTTCTTCTTCTTCTTCTTCACTTTTACCGGCTGTAAACTCTGCAGAAAGTTCTAGTTGTCTGTCCACCTCTGGACTTTAGTCCTGGACCAGAACCTGAATGTTGTGTGCACATCGGTTTTACAGATCTGGCTCATACGCACGCAGACTGTTGTTTCCTTGCCTCCGAAGCAGATACACTCAGACTTCAAATGAAACCCTTATATGTCGACTCCTACGACGCGCTTGTAAGAGAAGCAGTGGGTATAGTCTTGTTTACCCATATTGGGGTCCCGGAACCCAGAGGAGAATATGCTGCTAGTGCTAATACAATTGATAATGACCCCGTTAGATGGAAAGCCTAAGCGGGCATCCCCACAAGCTTCAATCGACTCTGGCGTGTCTAGATTCACCTGAAACTTTGCTGTCTACTCAGGCATTGTCAATATCAAATCTCACGACAAGTGTCCTTAAAACCACTGATTATTTCACCAGCCTTCCTGCTCATTATGCAATTATCATTCATTATTTGCCATCTCCTTGCAGTGCTTCTACCATTCGTTTCCTGACATTAAACCCATCAGCAACCACAAAACCTCGAGGTTGTGTTGGTGAGGTCTAACCTTTGTTGACGCAAGCCATCCATCGTGTCTGCCGGTTGTCTGGCACTTCCTTGCCAATTAGGAAGGTAAAAACTCGGATCTGTTGAGAAAAAAAAAACAGATCAAATAGTACACTGTTGTACAGAAACCTAATGAATTTTGTTATGTCTGAAACAGTCGGATGTGAAAAAAAATACGGTTAATTAGTACAACGTGAATATATGCTGGCAAAAATGTGAGATCAAAAGAAATTAGATCTAGGAATAATATTTGGAATCTGCAGGTGTAATGTTTCAACAGGGTTATTGAATTGTGTAATGCATCTGATAAATGCGCTGTTCGTACCAACTTTGTGCGATAAATGTCAGATATAGACAGTCCGTAAAAAACAAACGCAAAATTACAGCAAATGAGATGCGATGTAAAAGAACTGACAGTCACCAATGAAGACCTTAAAACTATGGTAGGCACAGTACCTATGTAAGATTTCATAGAACATCAAATAATAGAATGGTTTGGTCATCTGTTTAGAAAGGGTCCAAAATCAGGCAAGAGCTAGAGCGTACTACACGAAACCCGTAGGCCACAAGGCAAGAGAGGTCGACCAGGAAAGTAATAAAGGGATGGGCAAAAAGTGAAGGTCCCTTTTCCACGAATTTCATGCTTATCGGCTACATAGGGCTGGACTTTATAGACCAAACGGCACTTGGTGGGTGATGTGGTCAGCATCACGCCGGTCTGCCTTTACTTCCCAGGACTGTACCTATACCTACTCAAGGCTGGGTCGACCTGGGAGACAAGATCATTTTTTGAAAAAAAATCTTCCCCGTCAGGAACCGAACTTATGACCTTCAGATCCGCAGGCAAGCGTTTAGCCTCTAGACCAGGGTGGCTCCAGAACGGATGGGTGAAAGGAGTAAAAAAGACACTACAAAAACGCAATATGACTTTCACACAAAGAAGAGGAAGTAGGATTGAAAGGAAACGAAGAACTGCAAACTGTGACTACTAACGTACAGACTGTCAATTCGTAGTAAGCTAATAAGCTGCTACTTAGCTCTTTTCTTTTCTATACTCCTGGAACGCCTCGCTGTGTCAGGGCAGACAGGGATCTTTGAAACAGCTCCTTCTGTTTGCTTGGTACATATAAAGTACATTTTAGTGTCTCTGATATTTCTGCGGTCCATCAATTTTCTGTGTGGTCGACCTCTGGATCTGTTACCGTATAATAAGCTTCTATGGTTAGTTAAACTAAATGAAAAGCTACAGTAAAAGGTAAAGGTAATGTCTGGAGATGTGAACCAGCGTTATGGCACACGGTTATAAACCATAAGTGCTTTGCCACCAGTACAGACAGCTGATGAGAAACTGTCCGTCTTTGTCGCCGTCCACACGCAACTCTGTAGCTACAGCGACGTTGCTCCATTTACCCTATAGTGTTATTTCTGGTACCCATTACCTAGAGGCTGGGTGAACCAAACAACACTGTTTATCTACACATGTTTAAATGCATATAAACTGTTATCTGCATACCGGGCCTTCAACATAGGCCACCGGGTTTATTTAGAAGGTTGCTTGAACAAGTTCCCAGAATAGTCGACGCACGTTTAAATTAGTAATTACGAGTAGCAGTAATTTAATCAACAATATCCTGATCAACCTATCCAGGTTGTAACTAGTGTATATTCTTCTTCTTTTCTTCTTCGCGTTCACCGGTTCTAAACGTTGGCGGAAAGTTCTGGTTGTTCATCCACCTCTGG